CATTTGGCGCAACAGGTTCATTCCACATAATTGTATGCCTACTTTCAAGGTTGATTTGGGAATGACAGTGCTGCCAACGTATTTTGCTAGCTACATGGCGGTACAAACCCTTCGCTATACAATTACTTATATTTCATAGGTATATTTACCCTTCTATTATTCGTTATTCATCCCAGTTCATAGCTAAGACAGGACAAGGTCTATCTGGTCAGCTAGTTAGTATGTTCTAAAATAACTATACGACATTCTATTTGAAAAATGAATTATGCATATCATTTTTTTAAATGGAATGCTTATATTTCATCACAATTCAGATATACTCTTTCAAAAGACAAATAAATATTACAGCGTTTTGATGATTCGTTTTTGCGTTATAAACGAATGAATATACAAACACGGTTAAATTTGTCGTTCCGCCATGTTGGAGGATAATAAATGTGTGCTCTACTATCTATAAATTAGTGATAAGGAGCTTTAATATGAGTTATTACATGACCACCCATTGCATTTGGAAACATGCTCCAGGATGTCGCCCAGCCGCTATTTGATAGTATCAATTGTCACTTTAAAATATAGTATTCATACATCAATTTTATCACCCTGAACTTGACCCGTTAAAAAACAAGTAGGTGACCTTTTTGAAAAGCACTTCATACTGGAAACTGGATATGGATGTTGCTATCTTCGCTTCCTTGTATCACCCTTCCTTGCATAGTGGTACTTATACCTTCATGGTGCCTTAAAGTAACAAATAATAATGCGGTAGCGCCCGAGGTGCCCTATGAACATCAAAAAAATCATGTTCAATATAACACAGAATCCGTGACACTGACTTTCGATTTTTTTAAACTATAATACAGCCTTAAAACTCGAGAAGAAAACAGAAAAATGAATTCTTAAAAAACTACGCTTAGACTTTAATTTTTGGCGAGGCATAACTTTTTCGCATTAAGGCTGTACACGAATAAATGACAGTTTGCCGTAAAAAGGCTGCTACGGTTACATTAGTGACCTACCTATGTCGGTAATGGTTGCATTTATTTGAGATTAATTTTGAAATGAGGTTTGAAATCGATATATTTTCATTGCAGTTTAGATCTCTCAATGACTGTCAGCATTCTTGAACCAAACGTGTGTCTCTTCGTACAATACACCAAAATATACCAAGTGACATAAAAATCCCAACACCCAGTTTAAATGGTTTTGTTTTAATAAAATTTTGTATAAGTACTTAATGAAGCATAATAAGTAAATGATAAGAATTTCAAAATGATTGCACTGCTTTAAAGCCCTTTGATCTTTAATAATGTGTGGATGCACCCTGATGTGCTACGCATTCTCCAACGCGCCTAGGCATGCTTCTGATCAGGTGGTCAATGTCCTCCTGTGGTATCTCATTCCAGTCAACCTCCAACTCCTCTCGAAGTGCTTCTAGAGTCTGAGGAGGACGTTGCAAATTGAGCAATCTCCTACCCATCATATCCCACACGTGCTCAATTGGGGATAAGTCGGGAGATCTTGGTGGCCACGGTAACAATGTGACATCATTATGTTGAAAGAAGTCTATTGTGACTCTTGCAACATGTGGTCGGGCATTATCTTGTTGGAAAGTTGGATCTGCCAGGGTGTCAAGATAGGGTAAGAGATGGGGTTCTAGAACTTCGTGGATATAACGCTGCGCGTTCATGTTACCTCTGATGAAGATTAAAGGTGACCTGGAACCATGAGCTATAGCACCCCAAACCATAACTCCAACAGTGTGATGAACATGTCCTTCAACAAAAAACTGTGGATTCCTCCTTTCACCACGTCGCCTTCAAACCCTGGCACGACCATCGTGCATGCCTAAACAAAATCGAGACTCGTCACTAAAGACAATACTGTTCCATTCCTGATCTCAGAGTGACCGTTGTCTGCACCACTCAAGGCGATTACGTCGGTGTTCTCGAGTTAAAGGGAGGACCCAATGTGGCCGGTATGAAAACAAGCGAAAACTTCTCATTCGTCGGTAAACACTTCGCATGCCAATAGGTCTTCCGTGTTCTGCAAACCATTCATTTGCAATCGACCTGGTAGTGGAGAAACGGTCCCTTAAGGAGAATAATCTTAGGCGGCGATCTTCACGGTCTGTTGTTCTACGGCGGCGTCCAGTGCCCCTTGCTGTTTGCGTACGGCCTTCTCGAAGCCATGCCTGACAACACCTAACCACAGTGTCTACACTTCTTTGCACTCTAACTGCAATTGCCCGAAAAGAAAGTCCAGCTTCCCGAAGTCCCACTATACGGCCCCTATCAAACTCACTAAGTTGACGAAATCGTACAGGTCTCCGTACTCTAGGCATCGTAACCGATCGTAAAGGATGTCAAGAACCAAAATCCGCCAACGTTGATTCTTTACTGCGGCTGAAATATTCATTTTTAGAGCGTTAGTGAATTAAAAAAAAAGCAGTATAAAAACCGGAATGCCCAACTGATAAGGCTGAAAATTTTTTCACTTGTTATTTACAGTAAGATAGATGCATTCACCAACTTTTATTAAAATAAAACCATTTAAACTGGGTGTTCGGATTTATATGTCACTTAGTATAAGAGCCCTGAGTATCCGAGACAAAGAACCTAAAAGGGGGGTGAACCACGAGGCACTGAAATGGTGCTAACCTTTGATTCCTCACGTGTGGACTTTGTCACTGACCCCTGGTCTCCTATAGAGCTTCTTAACAGCCACTTTCACAGTAGCGATTTATTATAAATTGCGGTCTTCTGGCCGCGGTTCTAGCGGCGATTTTTGAGATGTCGACTACAACTCTTGTTATTCTGCCTACTGCTAGCATGAGTATTTCCCCTTTCTTCCGAAATACCATAGACGCGACACAATTTAGTGCCAAGAAATAAAAAGCAACAGAACAAACAATGCGGTCGCAAAAAGACAAAAGCCCAGACTTTTCGAGTAAAAAAATACACAAAGTTGAATAGCTACGGTTTGCCGACAGATAAAGGCTCCTTGTATGGGTCGTTTCATCCAAGAACAACACCTTGGTATCACCCATTTATTACGGTATTCAACAGAATAATGAAAAAAGAGTCATTTCCTCAGTGACTCCCTCGAGAAATAAAAGCGGAAGTATCGCCGTCGTACTTGCAAAACACTTTTGACATGAAAAGACCTAGGAGCTATCACTTTACCAAAAATGAATGTATTCACAAACTTTAATAAACGCCATAGAGACATTAAAACCTGTGAAAATCCGTAATAATAGTTATTCTACTCCCTCTCAATTCCACGAATCGACCCCCAGAAGCCATCATCATCCCGCAGTTACATCACCAAGTGTCTGGGTATTCTTCTTGAGTAATACGACTTCTCTAAAAGAACAGTAGTGGCGATGAATTGTAGGTCATTAATGAATAATAACGCTTATAAGCTAACGTATTTATGAGTGCCTATAATACCTACGTTAGATGTCAATTATTAAGAAAATTAATGACATTGGACGTTACTATGGTCCCGGCATACTTTAACATCAAACACATGCTATCATGACAGCATCCTTGTAAAACCGTCGGTGTAATATCTAGTAATAATCCTCAACAATGTTGTTGTGACCGGCTCAGGAATACTCGTATTTTCAAGAGTAGATGATGGAGAAAGGTGTAACTCGTAGGATGAAGAAATTTTTTACATTTTGTTGGCTATTCCGGTAAGAATCACCCCTAGATTTGTTTGCTGTTCCGAGAAATGAAGTAAAACAAAGAATTCCGCTGTCTTGTTTTGGTGGTATTAAAAGAGGCATCCTAGTGTACTGAAACGGTTCAAATTTTACACTCTCAAATTGTGGATAAGAAGTGGGCTAAGTTATTTCGAGACGCTCTGGTAGCTGTTGAATCACTAGCCGGCTATTCAGTTCAAATGCGCCACGGTATTCTCATTTGATCAAGCAACTTGCACATTAGAAAGAATATTCTATATTTTCTGATCTAATAATTATATCACATACATAAAGGCGTGGCCCACTTAGAAAATCCTGATTAATTAAAGGAATGTGTAAAGTATTATGACTGAATACATAATAAACTAACCTCAGAATCTTTTACTCAACCAAACGGTAAAATAAAATAGGGAAATTCTGTGATGTATATTTTTTACATAATATGTTCCGACATATCCAGAATTCTTTGTGTATTGAAATACGTAACAGGTTATTATATATTATTATATATTATACGTGAGCTTGATTACCTGTTAACAAACTTTGTGATTCAATTTACTGTAGAGGGATCCAAATCATATCACTGTACTATTTTATTTTTTTAATTGCTTTGTTGAAAGTTACAGTGTGACAGACCATTCCAGTACAGAAAGTTGTAGCTGTTGTAGTTCATGGGCGTAAATGTGATAGCTGATGAAATATTTTCTCAAGAATCATATTCTCATCTGGAATTCGAATTTCGTTCGGTTTCTAACAGAGTCCTACATAAAATGATTTTATGACATCAACCATATCATAAACCCTTGAACTACAAAAAAATATAACTGCACTGGAATGACCACCATACTATAGTCGAAATCACGAAAGATGACGATTACGTCATACCATAAATTGTAACGAAATAATTACCGGACGTACGTCGATGATAGGGTTACGATGTCAGGAACATGTGATCGAAGTTAGCTGATTTCAGTGATTATATTTATTTATTCTATTTCATGATTTTAAATTATCATTATCCGTGCACAAATTTACATTTTAAGACTTCTATTTGCAATAAAATTACATATTTATTAAAAAAAACAGCATTTCCTCTGTTCACAATAATAATATTTTGAACCTATTTTTCATCTAATATTGTTGAGTCCCTAGAGTTCTTACCAAAATCTTAATAATATACGTACATTGGTATCAGCTCCATTAAAACTACCAATTGATTCTGAGAACATGATTTTATTTTATAAAAAAAAAATACAAACACAAATAAGCATACCAAAGTTAAAATATTTTTGTACTATTTCATGTCATGCCATCCACTATTCATTTTAGCATAAGCTACAAAATTATATAAAACATATATCAAATAAAATAAACTGTACATTTCAATATGTTATTCCATTACTTATGGTCAAATTCAAATTAAAAATTAATCGCTACTGTCAGATTCAGTATCGCTATCTGAATCAAATGAGATTATCAGTGGTTCTATTTCACGAGTAATGGTTTTGTTGTACCACTCTAAAATTACATCATGGGTATGCTTCACACATTTTTTCCAAACCTCTGGTGTAATTTGTGACAGAGCTTCATTCCACATAGCTAAAACATTTTCATCACTATGACCACATCTTCCAATATGTCTATCATAATACTGCTTAGCATTGGCCCATATTAACTCGATGGCATTAAATTCACACTGGTATGTGGGGGGGTACGAAGAACTTCATGTCCATAACTTCTTATGATTTCATCTATTAAATACTTCTTTTCCTTACGATTTCTTTTCACTATATTCAATAACTCCACTTTAGTTAATGTTGGTTGGAACACAATTTCATTTTTACCAGCCAGTCAATAATCTCTTTTTTTGGAGAACTTGTGTTTGGAGTCTTTTCCAATAAAATGCTATGATAGGATGCATTATCCATAATTATCACTGATGGCTCTTCCAAGTTGCAGAGGAGTTTTTCTTTTAACCACTTAATGAATGTCTCGCCGTTCATATCACCATGGTAATCTGCAGATTTAGACTGTGAGGAAAATAACAGTCTTGCTCCATCAACAAATCCTTTTTCGCTCCCTGCATGGACAACAATAAATCGCTTTCCTTGAAAGCCCAATGGTCTCCTTACACTTTTTATTGACTCATCTTGCCAAGACTTTTTTGGACTGCCTTTTGAAAATATCCATGTTTCATCCATGAAAACAATTTGATGCGAGGAAGTGTTCACATAGTCATTATAACTTCTCAAAAATTTGTTGCGAAGTAAAGCAATACTGGATTGCTCAACTAGAAATCTTCTATTACCATCTTTTTTATATTTAAAGCCTATGGTGGGCACTCTTTGTAAAGAGCTATTGCTGATAGAAGCAAGCTCTTTTTCTTTAAGCGTTTTATTCAAATTTGCTGCTGTGACATGTTTCTTTGAAACAACAAAAAATCAATAATTTGGAATGTACCATCTCACGCTCATTATCATTACTTTCACTATACATTTGATACACTGTATCTCGTATATTATGCCTGACTGCATCAGATAAATCTGTTGTCTTAGACTTTTTTCTGGGTCTCTTCTTTCCAGGTGATCTTAGGACATTATCATTAGATGATAAACGGCGCTGTATTCTGGTAATAGTGGACAAACTGATACTTAGTGCCTGAGCCACCCTCTGAAAAATAATATAGAATAAATTGTCAATCATATGACCATATTTCTAACTATTACAAACCTCTTGGACAGCTAACAAAGGTAATAGAGGCCCTCCATTATCCTTTTCTTGTTGAAAATAATTCAGCAAGGATAGTACCAAGCCCTGTGATTGAGAGCTAAGAGTTTTGCTTTTCATAGCGAAAACTAGAATTAAAGTCTTAAATGATGCTCTTATGTTGGAAATTATTTAGTTTCTACCTTAATAATAATTTTTGTGAGGAGATTTTGTTTTGAAAAAAACAGTTATACACACAACAGAATACACCTCAAGACAGGAACACCAACGACCAAACTATTGTTCGAAAACAACCTAACCTGCAACGAACTGTCAACACGCTGACATGACATAACCTCACTTGTCATCTTTCAAATGTGATCGATCATGAAACATGCAAAAATCGTCTGTCTTTATCGGATGCAATTCAGCAATACTACTTGTTTAGACAATAAAATTTTGTTTGTCTCTGTCTAACACATCTGAACCTTCATTTAAAAATATTCACAAATGGCTGTCGTTTGTCTTTACTACAGAATAAAATGATGACGTAATCGTCATCTTTCGTGATTTCGACTATATAACCGTATGAAATATAAACCAATTAAAAAGACTTGCACTCACACAACTACGAGTACAATCCGAACTTGCTTCCACGTGAGGCATCCTCTAGTTAGAGTGAACATCCGATGTATTTATTGAATTTTAATGTAAAGAAAATCAGTAGTATTACTTGAAAAAAGATTTCTTTTGAAGTTCGGTGGTAAAAATAAAGCATTAAATCAAAATCAGGTAAAAGTCAATACAAAGCATTGCAAGCCATTAACACAATCCAAAACCTTATAAAACAAATGAAATGTTCACAATAGAACCTACTTTTTTGAGGTTATAAAACTAAATATGTAGTTTTGGCATCAATAGCTACCATATGCAGTGCTACATGGGCCATGTATCACATCCATATTATCTCGGATTTTACACAAAAAAAAATGTAAAAATCTGATAAATTCACTTTTATGATAAAAAGTACATTGTAACTTTTCTGTAGTATAACACGAGTTTTTATGAAAAATAATTGTTTACTTATTAAGTATACACTACTTTGTCCTAACTATCATCTGATTTTACGCTGTTCTCATTGTAAAAACAAAATATCATGGCATATGAGGGAAATATTTACATAGTAAACAGTAATTTTACACGCATTTTTGCAGTGAAGCTGTAAATATTTTAACGGTTTTCACCCCAATCACTAAACATCTATTGATAACTCTCAAGTTAAAAATGTTTCATTAAGACAAGAAATTACTCGTATAACAAGTCCAACGATATTACTTTATTAAAATGCATCCCCAGGTCATTACATGATGGATTCTTTAATGCATTGGTACATCGCTGATATCGTATGCGGCAATTATCACGATTAAAGTCTGTACACAAATGGAATGCTTAGATTTATGAAAAACGCCAACAGTTTCCAATTTACATCACCCATATGCGGTCTGGACTCAATTTACGGCATACTCACCGGACATTATTGAATTCCGAATTGATGTCGGAGGACGCATTTTGTATCAAATTCGCATAGCCTATGATCAAGATTTGGATGATATGCTAAGCGTAAAGCGTAGTCATTGAGTCACTCGAATGCCTAATGCATCTATAATCTGCCAAATTTGCTTGCGTTAACATACAAGAAAACCAAATTTGTTTGATAGCTTGAGTTCAATGTGTACGAGAGAGAAGCGCGACAAGCATGTATTAACACACTAGAAAGAGATAAAAGCCGGCTGAAGAGCGATGGTCATCACCGGTGACGCAAAAGGTCCTGCAACCTACCGTGTTGCCAATATGTTCCACCATTTTGATTAAAATTATTTATTTTAATTTTTAAGGGACTTAGGTTCTAATTCACTTATAATTATGTTGGAAAAAAATCAAGTTAATGTTACATATTGCAACAGCAAGCAGACGAAAAATGTAACAATTTTACCATTACACCATACAAATTATCACTGCCTACGTGTACGCAGGTGAAAATCATTTCCTGTGTTCAAATCGAGTCAATGATGCAACGTTGCAGAATTTGTGACGATCCTGACCTTTTATTTCGACCTAACATGAAACGCTGTTAGGACCGACCTGGGGTCGATCCTAAACAAAGTAGACACGATTCACAATTCAAAAAGCTGTACAAATGTTTTCAACATCGTTCTTAATTCAAGACACTGGTGTAACATATTGGCAACGCGGCAGATTTCCGGGTCCGCGTTGCTAGGCAAGGCGATGATGAGCTTCGCTATCCAGCCGGATTCTGTCTCTTTCTAACTTACTATATGAGTCTATACACGCGTCTCTCTCGTACACATTGGACTTAAGCCGTCAGACAAATTTGGTTTTCAGTGTATAGCAGTAGAAGTACATAATTTATTACTATTGGCTGGATTACGAGAAACACACATTTTGCAGCGTGCTTGACAATCACGCGTAATTCAATGCTTTCTGTGCAATTTCACTATAACTTTTGGAACAATATGTCATCAAATCGGTCAACGGTACCGCCGGATGCCCATCTGTATATATTCATTCAGCAAAATTGTTCTTCAAGGAGAAACGTCTGTCGAAAATGTTCACATCCGCCATATAATTACCTACCTGTTAAACTATATACATATTTTTTATCGACACATGACCGTTAATGCTCACCTGGACCGAAACCGGCTCACAATATATTCACTGATCGGAGTCGAAGTCGTTGGCGGTTGGTGTAAATGCAAAGGTCTGTATCACAAGCCAATGGTATGTAGTCCTCGCTCTTACTTCATCATGCAATCTTTACCATCATCGAGATATTCCAGGCCGCGACAAAGAAGAATGCTACTTCGATATTACCTGCCAAAAATTGTATTTCGTGTAGCTGTTGACACTCAAATTATCAGACAGATTGCTGAGATTGACTGCTAGGGTTTCCTTTTCTAACTGCAAGAAAGCATCGAAGCGTCCAACCATTTTCCCTTGATTGCCGAGATTTGCTCGAAAGCTAATCGCTTCTGCTAGTCGTAGTTCAAGTTACTAAACACATGGTCAGACACTAAGGGTCGTATCGTCAGTCGTTCCTACAATTGTAGGACGCCTTTATGGCCCCCTTGATCTTCATAGTCTTTTTTCTACTACTTCAGGTTTGGGGTGTTCCTACTTTTCCATGTCAGCGTCAGCGCTCTCCTATTGAATTGTAGATTATATAAACCAAAAGCGTGAACAATTTGATATAAATAGAAATTTGTAACATAGCCTCGAAATATACTAAGTGACATATAAATCCGAACACCCAGTTTAAGTGGTTTTATTTTAATAAAATTTTGTATAAGTACTTAATGAAGCATAATAAGTAAATGATAAAAATTTAAAAATGATTGCACTGCTTTAAAGCCCTTTGACCTTTAATAATGTGTGGATGCACCCTGATGTGCTACGCATTCTCCAACGCGCCTAGGCATGCTTCTGATCAGGTGGTCAATGTCCTCCTCTCGAAGTGCTGCTAGAGTCTGAGGAGGACGTTGCAAATTGAGCAATCTCCTACCCATCATATCCCACACGTGCTCAATTGGGGATAAGTCGGGAGATCTTGGTGGCCATGGTAACAATGTGACATCATTATGTTGAAAGAAGTCTATTGTGACTCTTGCAACATGTGGTCGGGCATTATCTTGTTGGAAAGTTGGACCTGCCAGGGTGTCAAGATAGGGTAAAAGATGGGGTTCTAGAACTTCGTGGATATAACGCTGCGCGTTCATGTCACCTCTGATGAAGATTAAAGGTGACCTGGAACCATAAGCTATAGCACCCCAAACCATAACTCCAACAGTGTGATGAACATGTCTTTCAACAAAAAACTGTGGATTCCTCCTTTCACCACGTCGCCTTCTAACCCTAGCACGACCATCGTGCATGCCTAAACAAAATCGAGACTCGTCACTAAAGACAATACTGTTCCATTTCTGATCCCAGAGTGACCGTTGTCTGCACCACTCAAGGCGATTACGTCGGTGTTCTCGAGTTAAAGGGAGGACCCAGTGTGGCCGGTATGAAAACAAGCCAAAACTTCTCATTCGTCGTTAAACACTTCGCATGCCAATAGGTCTTCCGTGTTCTGCAAACCATTCATTTGCAATGGACCTGGTAGTGGAGAAACGGTCGCTTAAGGCCAATAATCTTAGGCGGCGATCTTCACGGTCTGATGTTCTACGGCGGCGTCCAGTGCCCCTTGCTCTTTGCGTACGGCCTCCTCGAAGCCATGCCTGACAACACCTAACCACAGTGTCTACACTTCTTTGCACTCTAACTGCAATTGCCCGAAAAGAAAGTCCAGCTTCCCGAAGTCCCACTATACGGCCCCTATCAAACTCACTAAGTTGACGAAATCGTACAGGTCTCCGTACTCTAGGCATCGTAACGGATGTCAAGAACCAAAATCCGCCAACGTTGATTCTTTACTGCGGCTGAAATATTCATTTTTGGAGCGTTAGTGAATTAAAAAAAAGCAGTATAAAAAACGGAATGTCCAACTGATAGGGCTGAACATTTTTCACTTGTTATTTACGGTAAGATAAATACATTCACCAACTTTTATTAAAATAAAACCATTTAAACTGGGTGTTCGGATTTATATGTCTCTTAGTATATCAAGGAGAGCATAAAGGCGTCCTACAATTGTAGGTGTAACATACCACGTCAATCGCAGCAGGTCCTGGGGAGAAGTTGTGCTATCTGCTTATCGATGGGAACTACTTTCTGCTAGCTAGGCTCCTTACCATATACTGCCTGGTTTTTCACCTGAAACTATCTCATCTGTGCTAGAGCTGTAACTGGAAGAAGACCATTATCCAGATAAGTTTAAGTTTAGGTTAAAATATTTGTAAAGCCTATATTTGTAAAGCCTTCGTACGTGTACCATGGTAAACGTTTTGCAGGGTTAGTGATCACGGTATAATAATTCTATTGACATATAGTTTTGGATAATATTTTTTCTTTTTAACTTGCTCTCCAGCGGTGGAGGATTATGTGCTGCTTGATTCGACAATATATTGTGATTTTTCTTTAATATCTTGTTTTATTTGGCTCTCTGTGTACAATTGATTAGGTTTTGTCATTACAATGAGATTCTTTTCTTTTGTGTGGGAGTTAGGCAAAACAAGTTCCGATTAAAACCTCGGGGATTTGTGGCTTAATCCGCTTTGAGTCACTGG